TGAAGGGGGGTGAAGAGCAAGGAAGGCAGGGCTGGAGTTGGCAGGAGCCCAGGGGAGGAAGGAAACAAGAAACAATCAAGGAAAAATTTAACCAAGGCCTGGGGTTGGCTCGGGTCACGGAGCATTGCAGGCTGAGCTCGGGCTGGGATGGAGGAGGTTTCCTGGGGATTGTGGGGCTGGGGGTGGGGAAGGGGGAAGCTGAGGTCCCTCAAGAGATCTCATCTCTCACTGCCCTCCTAGATGCCCCTAAGATGATCACCACCCTTTCCTTGTGACCCTCTGTTCCCAGACTTGCCCCCAGGCTTCTGGTGACCATGGCCCCACCTGCCTCCCAGGGCCCTAGGTTCCCAGGTAGGTGGGGCCATAGCGAACTAGCTCCAGCCTGGGGACCCTTCATCAACCGCAGCAAACCCTGGAAGAGGGGCTTTCGACTGACTCCCACGGGCCCTGGGTGGGCTGAGCTTGCTCATGCAGATGATTTCCAGGAAGAAGAGGCTGGGAGGGGAAGGAAGGGCTGAGTCAGTCCCCGGGTGGTGATTACAGGGCCCTGTTCGAGGGGGAGCAGCCGTGGGATTGGGGGAAACTCACTGGGTCTGTCCCAGGGTCAGGGAGGGGCCCCAGGCTGAGGAGAAGGAAGTTGAATACTCCATTCAGGGCGTTTCTCCGTGGCAGTCTTCTGTGCCTCTAACCTCTCTCAAATGTCCTGCAGGGTTCTGCCCCCTCAGCCACCAGGGTGTCCAGGAACCCTTCCAGCAAGAACAGCGCAGGCCCTGGCTGAGACATGAGACCCTGAGCATGGGGTACTGGCTGGGGTAGGGGGCAGTGGGTAGGGTAATTGGCCTGAGTGTCTGTTGGATCAGAAATGCAGCTGTCCCTTGGCTCAGGATCCCAGCCACCCTGCCCACACTCAGGCCCTTACATATAGTCCGAGAGGTTACGTAAAAAAAACAATTTTAGTAAATGAAATTCTGGTTCATAAATGTTCCTTAATTGCAAGGCTCCCTTGGAAGCTGGGTGTGTTCACAAAGGTCCTGTCCAGTCAGCAGATCCAGGAAGAGCTGGCAGCAGGCTCCCCAGGCTTCCCTGGGCCCCAGCCAAGGGATACAACTTCATCTGTGAATGGGGAGCGTGAACCACCCACCTGAGTGCTTGTAAAGCGCAGAACCCACTGCCAGGCACAAATCACGCCTTGGATGTGGACTGTTGGAGGGCCCTCGCTCTGGCCCATGGCAGCAGTACACAGAGCAACAAAGGGACCGAGCACTAAACGGAAACTTGTTTTAAGGTGTGCTTAGAACAGTCCCCAGTGGGCTTAAAACAGTCCCTAGAGCACAGATGGCAGGTCCTCTGGCTTTGGGCCCTGGCCAGGAGCCCTGGCCTGGCAGCCAGGCTGGGCAGATCACTAGTCCCTGAACAAGAGGAGTAGGGGATTGGGCCAGGCTGGTGTGGCCAAATAGGCTGCTCTCTACCCATCTCCCACTGCTCCCCAATCCCACCCCCAGAACCTCTCCAAAGAGCTCTGG